CCCAGAGTGGCTGCCCCTGGACAGCACTCCCCACTTAACTGCCCCCGCCCCCATCACCAAGACCAGACCCTGCTGTCTGTTATACTAAATGGACTGCCAGGAGCCCATTTGCCCAAGAGGGTCAGTGACAGTGAAATGCGGGTGTCAGTTGGGACACCGGAATCATCCAGGAGCCGCTCACATCTTCTCAGAGGCCCCAGGAGCTGGGCCTCACCCTCTCTCACTTCACAGGTGAGCAAACTGTGACTTCCTCCTGTCACCACGGGTCAGAGCCTGGCTCTGAGCCCCGGGCCGGCTCCCTAGTTTCTTCCCTCCACCCTTTTCTAGAAACTGATGGTTCCCTCTGCTCCCTCCAGGGCAGCCTGGACTGACACGGCCTGTGGTGCTCTCTGTCCCCACGTGCTAGGGACCAGAAGATGGGTAGGACCAGCTGGGCTTCAAACAGGTGGCGACGGCAGTGTCAGAACACCTTTGGCAAGGGGATGGAGGGCACAGTGGTCAGGGCCTACCAGGTGCCAGGAATGGTGCAGGAAACTCACCGTTACAGTGACCTCCTTCCATGGCTTTCACAGTGTGAGGTTCAGGGAAGCAAAGTGTTTAAGGGCCAGGATGGACAGGTGGGTCTCCGACCCGGGTCTCCAGAGTCCCTGCCAGCATAGCCCTCTGCAGGCGAGGCTGGAGCTGGGTGGTGAAGTCTCCAGGAGAGCCACCCTGTTTGTTTGTTTGTTTTTAAATCATTCTCTGTCCTTTTCCTTAGTGTAGACAGCAGCTTCTGGAACCCTCAGGCCTCCCTGAGCACCCGGCCGCTGGAGTTGGAGACTCCTGAAGTTACTTGCCTATTTTCCATGGAATCTCTTACAAGCTTCCTGGTTTGTTTGGTGCCGCACGTGAAGAAGGTAGTGCAATAAGCCAGCAAGAGTCCTGGGTTAATTCTCCAGGGAGCTCTGCCTTTGACTGGCTGTGCATCCTTATGCAGGTGAATTTGCCTCTCTGATTCCCAGTCTCTTTTAACACATGAATGAGATAATAACAGTCTCTACTTCATACAGTTGTTATGAAGATTCAACTAGATCCTGCGTGGAAAGCAATCCCTGCAGTGCTTGGCACATACTCGGTGTTGGATAAACACGCACCTGCTGTTCTTACAATAAAAACGGTGTTGCTATCTGCAGTTGAAAACTTGGTGGCGGCCTTTCTCTTGGGGGAGGGCTCAAGCAGTATTCATACAGTTGTTATGAAGATTCAACTAGATCCTGCGTGGAAAGCAATCCCTGCAGTGCTTGGCACATACTCGGTGTTGGATAAACACGCACCTGCTGTTCTTACAATAAAAACGGTGTTGCTATCTGCAGTTGAAAACTTGGTGGCGGCTTTCTTCTTGGGGAAGGGTCCAAGAACTAGATAGAATGGGAGCAGAGGAGGATGGGGAGAGAATGTTCTTTCCTTGTCCTGCTGGTAGTCATTCCAGACGGCCCATGCCCAGGCCCAGCCCAGCAAATGCCCAATGAGCCCCTTCGTGCACTCACCCTTGGGAGACAGGGTGTGCTCCAGGCCCATTTGGCCCGGCTTAAAAGCATGGGTCCAGGCAAACCCCTACCTACACTGTCTCACCGTCTCAGCCCCACAAGTTGAAGCCAATGTGTGGGTGTCAGAATTGCCCTGGAGGTTCTTTCTAGAAAAAGAGAAGAAATGCTCAGAGGGGCGGGAGCGCCCTAGGGCCTGGCTTCGACACTAGGGTAAAGCACAGAGAATAATAAAAGCAGGGTGGCTGTCCTGGAGACGTGGCCTCCCTGAGGGATCTCTGTGGCGGGATGGCAGGAAACCCGGAGTCCTCAGCTCCTGGGGCTTCAGGAGTTCTTAGGCACAGTTCAGTCCCATTAGCTCATTTTGGGGAAACAAAACTCAGGGAGGCCAAAGACTTTGCTCAACACACGGAAGCACTGAGTCGGGCCCTGCGCTGCTGCAGGGGTGGGGTCTTCTTGCCCTTTCCTGACAGAGGCGCGGTCACAGTGCACAGTGTGTCTGGCCTGTCGCCTTCTCCTGCAGGAAGAAAGGGGCCGCTCAGGACAGGGCTGTGGACCGTGCCTGCTGAGCCTCTCTGGGGTTTTCCGTGTGTTTCTGTTACCCAATTACGGAGTCTTCCGAAGGAAGGAACGCGTCCTGCCCCACCCTGTTCCCGCAGTGCTCCCACATGTGCCCTGGCAGTCAGTGGGGTCTCGCCTCTGGCAGGCACTCCCTCTGTGAGGACGGAACGTTTGAGGGGAGAAGACGAAGACGGAAAGGCCTCTCAGCCGGCTGTGGCCCTCAAGGGAGAGGCGGGAAACTGGGGTTATTGGTGAGGACCGTTGCGTTTATGGGACCTCTTATCTTTATGACAAAAGCTCAAATGGGACTTGAGCTGCAATAACAAAGACATTATTAATAAAATTTGGGTTCCACAGTGTGGGGCTGTATTTGTTGGGCCTGTTGTGTTGGTGTTTGGGGGGCCGTCTTTGGAACCCTGAGATTTTCTGTTAAGTCAGACCTTGATGGTGGGAAGGTGGGAAGTCCTGGTGTGAATCCTGGGGGCCATTCCCAGTCTCCTTCTCCCTACTGCACCCCAACTTTCCAGGTAAATATGAACCTTCCCCCACAGCATTGGAAGCATCCCCTTTTCCCTCCTCACATAATTCCTCTCCCTCCAGTCCTGGACTTGACTCCGTGGGAGACCCAAACAACCAGGACTTGAGTGAGGCCGGAGTGGGCATGAGATGGGCAGCAACAGGGGTGCCCAGGAGGCCTTCCCGCAGGCTCTGGTTTCCCAGGAGGGCAAGCATGGCACAGCCAGACACGTGAACAAACCGCCACAAACACAGAAGCCGAACCACACCAAACTCGGAAAATAAACCATAAATTACATAAATTATAATACAAAAAATTCCAGTTCTATTTGTTCTGCAATAAGGTCACTATTAATACTTTCATAGAATTATATAAAGAAAAAAACAGGAGCATTGGAATAAGAGGCACAGACCCCCCCCATAATATTTAAGTAGTCCGTGCCCCTCCCACCCCAACAGTGTGTGCTATGCCAAGGGCAGGTGTAAGCCTACGGTCCAAGCACGTACTTCTTGGCCCAAGACGGCCACTCTGGTTTTGGCCTGCAGGTCCAGCGGGCATGGACTCTCCCTAGGGAGCCAGTCTCAATTGGTAAACTCTTACCCTGTCTGCTGTGCAAGTCAGCGGCCGAGAGGCAGGAGGGGCTGAGGGGTTGCCCTGGGAGGCCCTCAGGCAATGAAAGTGATCTGGCTGGGCTTTTGCTCTCTGCAGACGAGAGTCCTGGGGGAGGACCAGCAGCTGCCCTGGCTGCCGGGGTGGCAGCAGAAGAAGGTAGACATCAGCAGGGCCAGGATGACAATGAAGGTCAGCACCCACCAGATGATGCCCCCATAGATGAAGGGCATGATGAGGAAGATGAGCAAGACCAGCAGGAGCAGGTGTGCTGCCAGGCGCCGGGCCGCCACGCGGTTGGCACTCATGGTGTCCTCATCTGCCCAGCCGGGGTGTCCTGCGGCCGAGGCGGCGGGATCTGCCAGCCCCTGAGGACAGAGCCGTACCTCCTCGCGTGGCCAGGCCAGCCGCCCCATGACCGGCTCCTGGTCACGCAGACTGCAGATGAGGCCTCCGGGGACAGTGGTAGCCTTGCGGCACAGTGGGCAGGTGACAGACCAGGCGTCATCCTGCACACACAGCAGGAGCTTCAGGCAGACGGCACAGAAGGTGTGCTGGCAGCTCAGCAGCTTGGGCAGCCGAGTGCAGCTGTAGGGCTCCCGGCACACCAGGCACTCCAAGTCACCCTCCATGGAGCTGCGATGACCCCCAGCAGGGCCCGTGGTGCTGGTGGCAGTGGTGGTGGTAGCTCCCGTGGAGATGGGCTGGGGCTGCTGTGGGGCCTTGATGCAGGTCATCCTGGACACAGGAGCTGCTCAGCACCTGGGCATCGGCGGGTGATGTCCGCTGGGCTGCTG